AGGAATTCCAACGATGGAGGCTAGCATTCTTGTCAGATGTAGTGTGGACTCGTAAGAGGAGAAGTGCCTTTTTGGTGTAGTGGTTAAGTGTGCGGACTCTAATCTGGGAGAACCAGGTTTGATTCCCCACTCCTCCACTTGCACCTGCTGATGTGACCTTGGGTCAATCACAAGCTCTGGCACAGCTGTCCTTGAAAAAGAGCAGTTTGTGTCAGAGTTCTCTCAGCCCCGCCCACCTCACAGGGTGTCTGTTGTGGGGAGGGGAAGGGAAAGGAGTGTGTAAGTCGCTCTGAGACTCCAAGTGAAGGGTGGGGTATAAGTCCAATCTCTTCTTCTTCTTCTTTTTCTTTTTCCCACGGGAATCAGACCTTGATTGGGAGCAAGATAGGTACAGAAATATTTATTATACGGAGCATTAACACAGATCTTACATCAGTTCTGGATCTTACATCAGTTCTGTGGAATACTGAAAGATGTAATAGGTACTACCCTCAGATTCAAACTGGGCCAACATGCCGCTGAAGCTAGAGCCTGGATTTTGTCTCTGAACATGAGACTTAAAATAATTTCCCCCCCAGTGAATATCAGCCTCCTGTTCTATATGAAACATGGTGATTTCTATGGTGTGCGGAATCAAGCAATAGAAGAAAAACTTATTGTCGGGCATTGTCCAGCACACGAATGGAAGGTATCCAGTCCCACCCTCTGCCAGTGGCTGGGAGGACCTGGAAACCCTACAGCAAGAGGTTTGAAGGACTACAAGGCTAATGGAAGGGGAAGGGATATCGTAAAGTGCTATGAATGGTGGAATATGAATGTTTTAACAGATAAATATTGGAGAATGATTTTAGAAGGTGCACGAGGTGAAGAGTCCATAGAAATCACATTGGATAACCTTAGTAATTGTGAAGCTGAAGGTTTTCTTTTTTTTAAAAAAAGCCAATATATTCAGTAGACTTTACAGTATCCATCTTCTTTCCTTTCTTGAAACAAGGGGAAGATTTGCGAAAGGTTGGGCATCTGCACGCAGATTGAATTCATCCGCTTCACAATGAATATCATGAAGCCCCGGCTGGATCCAAGTCTCTCTGCCAAAGACCTGCTTTTCGATGGAGTTCCCATCCGAGTTTACCAGCCTAAGGCGCCATATGCTGGCCGGAGGAAAGGAATGGTTCTCTTCCACGGGGGAGCTGGCTTGGTTGGAACTATCGGTGAGAGTTCAGAGAGTTCATAGCGTGTTTTGGACAGATTTTCAAGTTTATGGGATTTGAGTCAGTTTCATGTTTGCCATATTATTTTGGGGTCGGTGGAGAATGTGCTTAAGAAATCGCAAGCCTTCCATTTGGGGCAAACTGAGTACAAATGAAGAATTAGACAAAAATTAGAATCTGTTGGTCAGATTCTAATATTCCTGTTTTTGATTGTGCTTCCCCATTGTACAAGTAGGGTTGGCAGCTCTGGGTTGAGAAATGCGTGGAGATTTGGAGGGGTGGAACCGGAGGAGGGTAGGGTTTGGGGAAGGGAGGGGCTTCAATGGGGTATGACAACAAGGCATCTACCTTCAACGTTCTCCAGGTTCCACCTGGTCTCTGCCACCTGGAGATTATTTGTAATCCCACGAGATCCCCAGTCACCACCTGGAGGCTGGCAATCGTATTGATAATCAATGTATATCAGTGAATATATCCAAGCCCCTTTCAACTGCCTCATGCGGACATTTTCCTGTAAAATACATGCATTTAAAATATTATTTTTGTATCAGGCACTCTGCATTTTATATTACCCAAACAAATATTTCTGATTAGTTAGAACCAATGAACTCTGGTCGTGAAAGCTTTTGATAACACAATGTATCTAATTCTCAAAACCTGTGAAATTAAGCAGAAATTAAAAAAAGAAAAGAAACGTGCATCACCCTAATAAACCCAGGCCTTGGTTTAAATGAATCATTACATAAACTCGGTCATTTAGCTAATGCGTTGCTAAGCACAGACCCAAATCAAGATGTTTTCCACTGAGGTTGTAATTTCACATTGTAATGTCAGAAAAATCTTGGCTACATTTTTTAAAGTATTTATAATCCTGATAATTAATCTCTTGCCCCCGACTGCTCCTAAAATTTTAAGAGAATCTGCTAACGGTGTTTTCTGAATTCCTGTTCCAAACTTCTGAATTTCTGTTCCAAATTTTTTCATTTTTTTTTAGATTTCTATCAAGACAATAGCAATAGAATTGCCAAGGAGGCTGATGTAGTGCTTGTAGCTGTCAGGTAAGTGAATTCAACCAAGTATCGATAAACAAAAATGCACATTTGCATACACAATGGAACAAAGCGTCAGTCCAGTGGCACCTGTGCATGCACACTTCTTCATATATGCATACACAATGCTCATAATGACAGCTTGATTGGTGGAGGGAATTGTTGGCCAGAAGGAAATGAGATGCAAAACAGTACACATTGTACGTGTGTATAAGGCACCCCTGTGTGAATGTACTTGCTTTTCTATGATCTTTTTCCTCCAAAGATCCCAGTGTTATGTGATGGTCAGTATGTCAGACTAGGAAACACACATACACACACACACATCTCAGAAGCGCATCAGGAGATCTGATTAGCTTTGTAGCACAAAGATAAACGTACGACTGACGATCAGTTGTGTGTACCCAAGAAAATATTTTTAAACAATATGTTCCTTTTCAAAGGCATCCTACTAAACAGAGCTTCTGCCTGAAATGTTGAAGAGTTACTATTAGAGTTCCACGTGACCGCACTTCCTGATATTTTGTGGTTGGCTCCGCCTCTTGTGGAAGCCATTTTGTGATTTCGCCCACCATCCAGTGTCAGAATTTCAAAGGCTCCATAGGGTTGAAAAGGTTAGGGAGCCCTGGCCTAGCCGCTGCACCTCCCCCCCTCTCCCCCTTTTCTGTCGCTCTGTCCCTCCACCAATTCATCTGCCCATGCATTCATCAGCTTCCCACTCGGCATCAATTCCTCCATCCAATCCAATTCGCAAAGGAATCAAAGTAAACTAACCCTCTGCTTCTTTGTTATGGCTTTCTAGCTATGGCTTGTCTCCTGAGCACCCGTATCCCAGTCAGTACAAGCAATGCCTGGCAGCTACTGCACACTTCATGCGAAATGCGGAGGTCTATGGGGTAGATCCTTCTCAAATCATCATCTTTGGGGACAGTGCAGGAGGCAATTTCACTTCTGTCGTAGCTCAACAACTGACGAAGAGACCAGACCTCCCCAAACTACGGGCTCAAGCACTGATCTATGCTGGCGTTCAAGCAATGGACTTCAACCTGCCTTCCTACGTGCAGAATGCTACTATGCCGCTTTTGAGCCAGGAAACTGTGATAAAGTTTATCCTGCAGTATTTTATAAAGGACCCAGCTCTGAAAAGTGATATCCTGAAAGGCTCTCATGTGCCAGATGATTTTAGGCTGAAATACCGAAAGTGGGTGAGTCCCGACAACATTCCCGAGAAATTTATGCTCCTTACAAGCCCGAGGTTTACAAACAGTTTCCAGAGCTGCTGGAAGAAACCTTTTCTTCCATTTTTGCTGAAAACCACATCATCAAGCATCTCCCCGAAACTTTCATTGTGACCTGCGAGTACGACGTATTTCGAGACG